ACGTTCCCGAGTCGGGTAGCGGAGAGCCCACTTCCGCGTGTCAGCCAACAAGATTCATTTATACATTCGTAATCGCATAATTGGAACACGACTACGCCAGATTGATCATGGGGAATGCGCTATTCATAGCTATCGGAAGGCCGAGCGGCAGCAACAGCCTCATACTCGTGCTAGTGGTCCTGCAGGGTAGGAAAATTAGACGGCAGGGTGTGGGTGCATATCTTTAGAAGAGAGATGCAGGGGTTATGTTAGAAGTTGTCAGACATTCGTCGTAGGACCGTTGCTTTCGGGTCTTTTAGTTGCAGGGCATCTGTCAACCAGATTCAACCGGATGTGCTCTTGCTGCGATGATCTAGAGGTATTTCTCATGGCATCTTATAGCCAAGGCAAGGAGATAAGGAAGAGCGAAAATGAGATAGGTAGATGTCGCCTAAGGAGAAGAATAGGGCGGAGCATCCAGAGAAGTAATCCCTGCTGCATTCCCTTTCGTTTAGACAGTGTCATCTTAGCCAGGTCTGTACAACTTCGTGACTCTCATGTATGAATGCTCGGTGACACTGATGAGCTGCCGTACGCGGGAAGGGGCAGGGCGGGGGGGTGGGAGTGTGCGGACCCCCCCCCTACATCTCCTTCCCCAGCACCTCTTAAAGACACATACCGGGAGTCCGTAAGAGTTCTCTTGTTGCTTCGTTCGGAAGGAGGAAAGGAAGGAAAAGAGAAGAAAAGGAAAGAAGGGGAGGTCTGCGGCTGATTGATGCCCTGGGAATGTGTCGCTCAGATTCTGTCTGAAACTACAAAGTAATTCTTGTTATTGGCGGCTTTTCTCATTTTCTTTGTATGTTGCCCTTTTTGGGAGTTGGTAGGCCCTCCCAGGGATATTGTAATCCGTACTGGTCATCAGTTACCATTTTCATCCATTTTTGGACCCTTTTGGCTAGATTTATTGATCGTTGCACTCGTAGAAGTTCTGAACAGCATCACCGGTCAGACTCTTATTCTCCATTCTTGGTCGATTTTCGCCGAAACGAGGTGCCAAATGTCATTCGTAACTCCGCCTGATTGCATTCTTATTGAGGCTTAGAGTGTGCGCGTGTGGTTTTTTTTCAGCCGCAGGCACATCATCGATTAGTGCGGGCCGAGTTCTACTATGGCATATTTTTCACAAGGCGTAAACATACTGTTGTCCCCCCCCCTGAGATGGTCACGATAGGACCGACCGTATTCTGACTCATCTTCTAATCTGGTCGTTGTCGTATGTGAATTGCCTTCAACGGCGATAAGATACGACGACGGTGTGATGAGTCAGGCGATCGATACAGGTGTCTTGACGGAGAACGAACACTGGCTCGGTCAGCGCTGGAGGGGGCAAGAAGCTTTCAGGTTAAATGCGAAGTACTGCCCCATGAGGGACTTTCTTTGTTTTCCAGCGGGTAGTCAGGAAAAACAGCATGGACGGATGACGGGATATAAACAAACACATCCGACCACCGATGCTAATGGCTTCCTCGATATTGTCAAGCTATTCACTACTCGCTAGTTGATGGGCTCACTATTGGGTTCATTACTGAAAGTATCGTATAACGAGTTAGCTAGGCCTAAGATCAATATTCTTCCGAGTTATGCTTTCCTTGGGGATTTGTGGGGGCCTAATGTTTGTTTTCTCGAAATTAAGCGATATATTGTTGTTTTATTAAGTCAAGAGGAATGCAAGCGATATTATGCTAGGCGAGGGAATGGGAGTACAGCCAAGGTGTCGTTATCTTAGCCAGAGAACTTTGTTCTGTTGGGAAAATTTTTGCGAACACGACCCTAACCCCACCTCAGAAATCCCCCCATTGGTGCGACCTTCTCCATCTCTTCCCTCATCCTACCTACCATCTCCAACCATCTTCGAGAATCCTTCCAACTTCCTACCAGTTTTCCTTTTTTTAAAATTCCCTCCACATTTCTTCAAAAGAAACCTATTTCAAGCGGAGAGCGGGGGGGGGAGCAGGAAAAATCGAGAAATGTCAGCAACCGAAAGTATTTTTCTCAAGCGCAAATACCACCTTTCTCGCTCCAGTAACCAAAAGGACCCTCACCCAATGCTGAAGTTACCCAATGTACGACGTGCCCTGATCTCATTGTCAGTCCATCGAGTTTGGTCTGGCCATGAAGGGTTGTAATTGTGGATCGTTTTATCAGCTGGAGACAACACGCCTGTCTTAGTACGAGTTTACGGGACGAGTTTTCCTAAACTTTGTGTGCAGGGCGAGCCGGGAACACAGCGCTTGGTATGACAATGTAAATTATTCCAGGGTAATTGTTGAGTTTGCTGCGTTGAGATTTGTCGTAGTGTAGTCCACTAAGTGTTATGCTATGTATGCTAAGCTGACGTACGCAGTGCGGACATGCACGTGGGAACGCCTCGTCTTGCTTCGGAAAGGCGGATGTATACGTCTCTAAACTAGCAGACAAGCGAACTTTACTGGTACTCGTAAAAGGATGTGTTTGAATTTCTAGGCTTCCTCTAAGTGTTTCTTTGTGGAATTCATGCCTAAGAAGAAAGAGCATACCTAGGATATGCTCTTGGAAACCAGTAGATTCTCAGGAATTGTCGGTCTAATTTCCGCCCAGCCTAATTAGATGGGGAAGGCAGGGGGTAATAGCCGTTGCAACATTGATTACTA